CCCCCCCCCCCCCCCCCGGGCTGGAAGGGGGCGGGGGGTTGGGGAGGTTGGGGCTGGGGTGGGGGGGGGCTGGGATGGGAGGGAGCTGCAGGGGAAGGAGGACTGGGAGGGAGTATTTGGGGAGGCCTGAGCCAAGTACCCTGGCAGCGTGGGGACTGAATTGGGAGGCAAGGGAAGCAAAGAGGAGAGGGAATGAAGAATTACGCATTGGATAAGAAGGTAAAAATTGGGGGACATACTATGGAATTATTAGAAGGGATGTCTGGGAGCTCATTCATCATGGCTGATGAGGTAAACTGATGAGGTGGAGATAGTTAATTGAGGCAAAACCAAAAGAAAGGGTGATCTACACCCCACTCTTAGTTGTATGCCAAGTTTTTAATAATTCTGCCAATCCAAACAGGGAGTTTTCCTTATACATGGAAAAGCATGAACTGAAACATAGAAATACCTATTTAGCTTAGATTTACGGGATAAAATCTCCATGGTCCACACAAATTTTAAGGCAGGTATTTGGGATTTAAGTCATCAGTCCATAAAGGGGTTGTGATTCAATAATATCAAAGGCACTCAAAACTGATGTTACAGTATCCACACATGGCTGGACTTTTAAGTATTTCATAGTGGTTATTAAATGTTAGCAAGGATGACAAAATTACCGGTTCAAAATATTAAAATGTTCATCTAAATATTAAAATGTTCATCTCTCTCTCTCTCTCTCTCTCTCTCTCTCTCTCACACACACACACACACCTATAATTTCTAGTGTCTAGCATGTAAAGTATGATGAAGGGAAGAGCGTGTTTCCCTGATAATTTTATTTCCCACCAGCACTCTATGCATTTTACAGCAGACCAGCTGCTCCTCACCATTTCAAAGAATGTGGTCAGAAAGTAATACAGAAACTGCCACTCTGGTTTTGTCTGTACCTTCCAGGTCATATCTTCGTGCCTCACTTCCTGACACAAACAAGTTTTCACTGTTGTCAGCAACAAAGCCCTGATACAGCTGCGGGAAGAAAAGGCATCGCATTTTGTCTCCTGCAAGCATCATCCACAGTTACCGGAGGAATGTAATTCCAGAAAGCTTTAAAGCTGGTGGTGATGGTAATTATGTATCAAATGCCCGATTCTATTTCTGTTATTATTGTTCTGTCATTTCTGTTCTACCCAAGAGCTGGCTGAACTCGCAGAGGTACAAATCCGGTTTTTCTTTTTTTGATCTGGTAACATGTCATCAGACCTGATGGAGAACTCACTGCTCTTGGGGGAAAATAAAGTGGGAGCCACGAAATGTCATTTTCACAGAGCGTGGGTTTGGTGACTGTAGGGAAGGATTTAAGGACGCTCCTTCTGTTCGCTTTTCTCTGTGATGAGCCAAGGCTGCTCGCGCACACAGACGCCGCGGCTCCCGGATGCTGCGGCTCCCTTATCTGGGCTCGGGCAGCGCCAGGAGCCCCTACAGGACGCTGCGAGGGGCTCGCGGTGGGTGGTGGCGCGAGTGCCGCGTCCGCGGCCGCCAGTCCTGCTGCTGTTGTTGCTGCTGCTGCTGCAGTCACGTGGGAGCCCCTTTAAGTTTCCATAGAGAAGCCTCTCCGGTGTCACATGATGGACATGATATAATGAAACAACACCGTGGAGAGGAAAGCATTAGGGGAGCCCACGGCTACGAAAACAAGTGAGTGAGAAGAGGTGGGAGGAAGAGAAACTACGCCACCTCCCCTGCAGCCGAGCCGCCCGCAGCAGCAGCGGGCGAGGAGAAGGGGGCGACGCCGGGGGAAGGCGGGAGGCTGGGAGACCGGTCCTCCGCTCCGGCCCGGCGACCCCGCCGCCCGCCGCCCACCGCGAGAGAACAACTTTGAGCCGGCAGCCTCGGCCCGCCTGCACCTGTCTCCGGAGCCTCCCCTCGCTCCCCGGGATGATCAGAGGGAAATGCGAGAGAATATGCTCTACAATATTACATGCGCATCGTTT